GGCTAGTTGAAATCTTTCAGCTGATTTTTTTTAAAAAATAGAGCCTCTTTAGCATTATTTCTATAGTTATAAATATGATATTTATACTCCCTAAGAAGTCTGTAAGGGGCATGCATAAGCGCACCAATGTATCTACTGCCCCTGTCCTAATGTTCCTTTATATTCGTATCCATTTCATGTATTCAAAATCATATTTCTACGTATATATATGTTATCTAACACATGCTTGACAAAATAAATAAAATAAAATAAAAAATAAACTTTATGCTTCATACAGTCTGGGTCAATGTAATTAATTTAGGATGTTAAGAAAATATATGACATGAAGATATTTTTTTTAATCAAGGCAGAGTTTTTAGGAAGTTATAGATCAGCATTAACAAAAGAAAACCATGCATTTTTTAAATATCAAATTGTGCATTGTTCCCAACAATTGTGCCAGAATAACAACCTTATATAAACACATACACACACACACACACAGAGAGAGAGAGAGAATCCTGGGCCCCTTACTGAGTTTTGATAAAACTGTATTGGTGGATATTTCACCACAGCTTGTTGTTTTGTGCTATCTGATGCTGTTTAGCAATAGATTAAGTGTGAATGTTGCTATTTTAGTATGTTCAAGATAGGTTTAAAAATTACTCTCTGATTACTCAAAAATGGCAGCATTGGGTCAACCTTCAGCGTAGTTGAAAATTGCTGGACTTCAACTCCCAGCAATGCTGGCTGGGGAATTCTGGGAGTTGGACTCCACCCATCTTCAAGCTGCCAAGGTTGAGAAACACTGCTTTATCAGAATTTAAAAGCTAAGCAGAGTCAAATATGGATATCCATTGGAATGGGTAACTACCCATCTTTGGGCTATGACTGGGTTAAGAAGTTGAATATCATCTTGGAAGATAAGAGAATGGCAAACTGTTTTGTACTGGTTGCTATTACATATGAGACACAGTGAATTACATTTGGAAGCAAATTACTTTAGTTCTAAATGTTTAGTCAAAATGGGCCTGAAAGCCTGATGGAATGTGTCACTATTGTGCAGTATTCATTGCCATGCTCTCATAACTTAAAAAAAAATAGTTTTATAGCTTTTCCTGCCATTTGATAGGTTTGCATTTTTTTCCTCAGATTGTAGGAAAAGCTATATTATTTTGAATGTAAACTTGATTTGAAAAATTGTCCTGCATTTAAGGTGGATTTTTTTTTCCTATCAAAGACCTTTATGAGCACACAAATATGAATACTGGATATTTCCAACCCAGATGGGAGCCTGAATTCTTCTCTGAAGACTGCTCATTCAGATAACTAGCAGAATTAATAGGCCTCATGTTAAACCGCTCCATTCCCAAGTATATGCACAGCCCTAGCCTGCTAGTTATTTTATTTTAGAGGTGCTGTTCTAAAGTATCTCGATATAGCAGCCTAGAGGGCGTTGGGAAATGTTCCAATAAAAAATAATATATATTCTTTGCAGCACTTGTAAAATAAAACCCACAGGGCACGTAACAGTTTGAGTACAATAAGAGTAAGGAATCTTAAAGTCTGTATTTAGTTTGGGACAGGGTGTGGAGGACTGCATTTAAAAAATGGCAGTGTGGGAAAACAGAATGCATTAATTGTAAATATAGTCAACATATAAATGAAGACAATAAATATCTCTGTCTAACAATAGTGACCTCCAAGAGGTCTAAAAGAAGATGATTGAAAGGCACAGCAGATGTGTCAACTGATCTTTTTTTTACACTTTGACCACCATTATTTTTTCTTTCTCCTGAAATTACTCATATACAGGAAGTCTTCAACTTACAACCATTGATTTAGTAACTGTTGAAAGTTAAAACGTCACTGGAAAAAGTGACTTCTAACCATTTTTCACATTTAGGACCATTGCAGTATCCCTGTGTTCATGTGATCAAAATTCAGATGCTTGGCAAGTGGCCATATCTATGACTATTGTAGTGTCTCCGGGTCATTTGATCACCTTTTGCAACGTTCTGAAAAGCAAAGTCAATGGGGAAGCCAGATTCCTTTAACAGCAATGTTACTAACTTAATAACTGCAATGATTCACTTCACAACTGTGGCAAGAAGGTTGTAAAATGGGGCAAAACTCATTTAACAGATGTCTCCCTTAGCAACATCAATTTCGGGCTCAGTTGTGGCCGCAAGTCCCCTGTACATAGGAATGCATATAGAGCCTGTTTTGTCACCAGCTTGGGCATTTAAAAGCATGGAAAAGACGGAAAAGTTTAGAGTCCTGCAGAAAGTGTTTATGAAGTGTAACTTTAGGCATGAGTCTGAAATTCATGGTATCCTGGATATTATTCTTTTTTTATTTTTTTCTAGATATGTAGACATGTAAACATCTCAATTATTTTAGAAATCACTGAAGAAATATCACATTCCCAGAGTCCTGCTTCGTAGCATATCATGAATCCTTTTAACCCCTGGCAAAGAGACTATTACTTAGTATGCCCATCATGGGTCTCTGCTCCTTTGTCCCTTGTCATCATCACTCTGTGGAGCTATGGTAGTTATTAATTATAGAGGTTTCGTTAGGGGCCATCCTTTCTGTCTGTTAGCATAAGATGAAAAACGTGATATTTGGGTCTCACCCCCAGGATGCTTTTGCAGGTGGCTGGGTATTGCCTCCTTTGGTGTCCCAGAGAAATTGGGTTGTGGTAACCTGCCGCTGAATGGTCACCAAAAGGACCTGTGCAAGAAGAAGCCCTACCTCCTGCACAGCATCCGAGAAGGAGCACGCTTGGGCATCCGTGAATGCCAGAGCCAATTCAGACATGAACGGTGGAACTGTCTACTCTCTCCGGATACAGTGCCTGCACTTTCCACTAATCCTTCATCCATCTCCGCCCCTCCTGCTTTCTCCATCTTTGGCTATGAGTTGAGCAGCGGTAGGTTCTTAGTTGGCAGCACTGGTGGTTGGGCAGTCCTTTGGATGGCTTAAGCCTGAACTCTTGCATTAATGTTGGCTGAGCAAGATCAGTTCTCGTGAGCCCAGGAGTGATGCTATCTGACAACTTGGATCATCCAATTTCATATATGAAGGCGTGTAAATATATTCATTTCTGAAGAAATTGTGGAATATGAACAAAGTTTCTTGTGGAAAAAGTATGATTTACTGTGCTCTCTCATTTATACGGGTTCACCATATTGGTCCCATTAATGGCTCAGATTCAAATTAAGTTATTCATTGATTGGATTGACTCAGATAGAGCTGATTTACTTGAGTGAAACCAGATGATCCAACTCTTAGTTGCATGTTAACCTTAATGATTAATCATAGAACATACCGCTGATATTTTTAACAAATCCTTTTTTTTTGTAGGTACCAAAGAAACAGCATTTATCTATGCTGTGATGGCAGCTGGCCTAGTGCATTCAGTGACACATTTATGCAGCACAGGGAACCTGACTGACTGCGCCTGTGATTCCATGTTACAAAACGGTGGTTCAGCCAGAGAAGGCTGGTACTGGGGTGGATGTTCTGATGATATCCAGTATGGAATGTGGTTGAGCAGAAAGTTCTTAGATGGTCCAACAAAAAACATCACCAGAAAAGATAGAAATGGATTGATGCTCATGAATCTGCATAATAATGAAGCAGGAAGGCTGGTATGGATTCAAATCTTTTCCCCTCCATTCTGATCTCACCTAGGCTTCCCAAAAGCCGGCTTGGCTTCTCGTCCTGATAAAACCTTTTCTATTTAGTTTAAAAGCTAAAGTCTCCAGCAAAGTCTCGGCCAACAGTCTTTCAAGAGATTTCACAACTACAGACCTTTATCATGCTTGAAGAGCTGCCAGGCTAATATCCTCCAAATGCTACTCTGTAGCAGACTATACTTGGCAAGAAGTCAGGATCAGATCTTCACTCTAATGAATTGAACTAATTGTCTCCTGCAAACTCCCCTCCCCTTTCACTCCTCTTTATTCCCTCTGGGAAGAGCCATTCACTGTCCACCTGTGGCTTTACTCCCGAGTCGACCATTGTTCCTTAGCTGTTCCCTTCTCCTGGCAGCTCTGTACACTGGGAACAGGCTCCAGCTGTTCTTTTGCCCCACTTATCTCCGACTCCAAAGGTAGCTGATAACTGTTGGATGGCCCTGGCCCCATCTCAGCCTCCAATGCAGAGCACTCCTCAGAGCCTTCTCCAGACTCCAGGACTGGCCCATGTTCCTCTCCAACCTCCCCACTGTCCGAATCTGCTGCCAGAACCGCTGGAGGGCCACAACACATTCTTCTCTCCCACGTATCCATGAATACTGATGAGAGGAAATTACATGTTTCTTTTATTTAGTTCCTGTGTGAATAGGGGGTTCATGCAATCATAGCTACTTTATATGTTTGCTTCCCTATGTTTAGCTCCACCTGGGCAAATGATAATGTTACTATAATGGGCCTTTGAGATGTTACTGAATTACAAATCCTAGTCTCTCTTACCATTGAACATAGTGGCTGGGTCTACTGAATGTTGTCATTCAGTAACAACTAAATTTCCATTAAAGATGCTTTCTCCACCAGGATGCCCTTTAGAATGGGCTGCACTGAGGATAATGCACTTTCTGTGTGGAAGTTAAGCTTTGAGGAAACCACATATATTTGTGGGTACGTACAGTCTGAAAAAGGGACGCGGTGGCTGAGTGGCTAAGATGCTGAGCTTGTCGATCAGAAAGGTCGGCAATTTGGTGGTTCGAATCCCTAGTGCCACGCAAGCTCCTGTTACTTGCCAACCTAGCAGTTTGGGGAAAAAAGGTAGAAAAATAGGGGCCATCTTTGGTGAGAACACGGAACAGTGTTCGGTGTGCCTCCGGCATTTAGTCATGCCAGCCACATGACCATGGAGACATGGTCTTCGGACAGCGCTGGCTCTTTGGCTTTGAAACAGAGATGAGCATTGACCCCTAGAGTCAGGAATGACTAGCACACATGTGCAAGGGGAACCTTTACATTTAACTTTACAGTTTGAAAGTACTGGGGAGTTGCCAATTCTTTAAAGTAGGTCAAATATTCTCACAAGAAATATTGGAACTCTGATTTCAAGTATTGTTACAGGCTAGAGCAAGGGTGTAAAACTCAAGGCCTTTGGGCTGGATCCAGCCTGAGGGGTGCTTAGATCTGGCCCGCAGGGCCAACCTGGAAACAGTGAAGGACTGGCCTGCATGGCCCTTCCGAGAACTGTTTTTGCTGGCAGAGGGTTGCAGGAGGCCGTCGCAGCCAAAAACAGAGCTGGGGAGTCTGTTTTCGCTGGTAGAGCATCTCTGACACGAGTGACATTGAGTTGGCCACACCCACTCCGCCCTCCCCCCCCCCGAGGTTAAACACAACTCTGATGAGGCCCCTAACGAAATTGAGTTTGACACCCCTGGTCTAGAGTAACAGAAAACCTGATAGTATTTATACCAAAGAAAATCAGGGAAGGATCATGTTACTGTTGTTTTTTTAAAATCTTTAAGATTTTTGGGGGCTTTGCTCATATTCTACCTCATTCATCCTTCGATATCATCTCTGGTTTTCTGCACAAATTGGCTATATGTTTTTCCTGTGGAGTGAATATTGATGTCCTGGCCCTTCTTTGTTCATAGAGAAATCTGAATGGTTCCAGGAACTTCAGTAAGCAGCAAAGGCTATCAAAATGGTACATACAGGCGACCTTTCCCTTGAGATTTCAGAGCCAAAAGATACAGATGCTATATTGTGTATGGGATTTTGTGTGATTTAAAGAAAGCAGGAAACTGTCCTCCATATTTCTTAAGAAGAAACATGCTGTTGCCTAGTTAAAAAACATACTAGTCTTTTGGTCCATATGAAAACTGCATTCAGCATTTCTGTTATGTAAGGGAAAAGCAATTTCTAAATTAAAAAAAGAAACTCAAAATGCTTTGGAATATGCTGGGTGTGCGGCCTAAGAGGAGAGTTGATCCTTTCTGATTGTGGTTTGCTTTAATTTTTCCTCCAGGCAGTAGCAAAACTGATGTCCATCGACTGCCGCTGTCATGGCCTATCTGGTTCTTGTGCTCTGAAAACTTGCTGGAGAACCATGTCATCCTTTGCAAAAGTTGGAAGTTTTTTAAAAGAAAAGTATGAGAACAGCATCCAGATTTCGGACAGACGAAGACGAAAAATACGCAGGAGAGAAAAAAGCCAGCGCAGCATCCCAATCCAGAAAGAAGACCTCCTCTATATCAACAGATCGCCCAACTACTGTATGGAAGATCGCAAACTGGGGGTCTCTGGGACACAAGGGCGGGAATGCAACCGCACATCTGCCGGACCGGATGGATGCAACCTCCTCTGCTGTGGCCGTGGATATAACACACAGGTGGTGAGGCACGTGGAGAGATGTGAGTGCAAATTTGTTTGGTGTTGCTATGTACGCTGCAGAAGATGTGAGACTGTGACTGACGTTCATACTTGCAAATAAAAGTAATTGCCTCAAATATCTTTCCTGGATCCAGCGAAAGAAAAATGAACATTTTCTCTGGAGTCGAAGGTTGAAAGCTATTTGTTTTTGTGGAAAAAGCAACTTGATGTTCTGACCTAGGTTTCCCAAGATCATGAAGAAGACTCCTCATCCCAATAAAACCTCTTTTATTTAGGTTAAAGTGAATTCCTCTCCAGCAAAGTCCCAGTGGTTCAAGAGATTTCACTACCACAGACCTTTATCGGGCTTGGAGAGTTGCCAGGCTGATATCTTTCAAACCCTGCACAGTAGCAGCAATTACTTGGCAAGAAGTCAGGAACAGATCTTCACTCTAATGAATTGAACTAATTGCCTCCTGCAAACTCCCCTCCCCTTTTGCTCCACTTTATTCCCTATGGGGGGGGCAATCCCCATCCACCTGTGCCTTTACTCCTGAGTCAACCCTTGTTCCTTAGCTGTTCTCCCAGCAGTTCTGCGCATGCACACATCAGGAACAGGCTCTAGCTGTTCTTCTGCCCCACTGATACCTGATTCCGAAGGCAGCTGATAATTGTTGGATGGCCAAGGCCCCATCTCTGCCTTCGACGCAGAGCCCTCATCAGACTCCACGACTGGCCCATGTTCCTCCCCAACCTCCTCAATTGTCTGAGTCTGCCACAAGCTCTTCTGGTCGCTGGCAGACCACAACACTTGGACGAAATAGCAACAAATCACTTGGCAACTTGTATTTCATAAGGAATTTGCATACTTGGATGGTGTATTTGTGTAATTCAGTCCACAATGACTGTGGATTCTCAGTATTTCAGTCACATGCAGTGCTTAAGTAAATTTAATAGCTAAGTAAATCAGACTAGCTTCGATTTAACATTCAGAAGTTAAAATAATATCCTCTTTAAGGCATCTGGCTCTCCTGTATTGAGAATTGAGAGCATTCCGTTTACAAAATAGCCATAAAATCAGTTGCATAGCAATTTGCAGTTGGGAATGACACTGAGGTTCAAGCAAAGCATCCAAGACTTGGTTAACCAATCTCAACCAAAAAAATTTGCAGCATCCTATGATCAACATGTTTTTTCCCCCAGTAACAACCGTTTTCTTCTAGTCTCCAACAAAAAATGCCTCATAGTGAACAATGGGACGCTTAATACCATGCTGTGGTGTTCACTTAATGACCTGGCATTTCTTTTACAACTGCTGCATTCACTTAACAACTGTCACAAAAGAAGTAATAAAATCGAGCACTTATGTGATGACCTGCTTTATGATGATCACAACTTACCACCAAAACCTCAGTCTCAATTAGTGTCATAAGTCAAGAGCTAGTGTCATTGGTACAGTCGTCAGCATTAGAGAACAAGCTTGTTGACAGAGATGGTATGCTGCAAAACGTGTATTCCTATGTTTTCACTTACTTCTATTCCAGTGTTCTAATTTTCCATTTAAGATAGAGAAACAGAATGAGGAGTCCTTGGTGCTCTCTGAGCTTGGTTGTTTTCTCGCAGATATTTCATTAGCCAAACTGGGTAACTTTGTTAGTGTTATCACTGATCAGTCCTAGCATTGCTGATGTTACCTAGTTTGGGTAGTGAAATATCTGCAAGAAAACATCCAAGCACAAAGAGCACCAAGGATCCCTCATTTCAACACTGAACTACAAATATTCTATCAGAGAAAGAGAATTGTTTATTTGTAGCAATTGTATAGTAGTATTCAAGTACTGCTCCTGTTTTCTTTTGAACCTTCTTGACAAGGTCTACATTGTGATGCATTTCAGAGCAGTCTCATTAAAAAAAAAGAAAATGAGCATGATGCTAATTTGTAAAGATACTGTACAGTGTACCATGAAATAAATAATGTACCTGTTGAGGGCCCCTTGCATATAGAATGAATGCAAGTCACCTATGAAGCCAATTTCAGATTGCACAGCTGCCTACATAGCTTTATCAGATGGTACTTTATTCTTATAATTCTTATAAACTCTATTCTTAAACTTATAAACATGCCAGCTGCCAAATTTTGATCATGTGGTCATGGGGATGCTGCAATGAGAATGTGAAAACGGTCATACATTACCTTTTTCAATGTCATTGTAACTTTGAATGAATGATTAAGTCAAGGACTACCTGTATCGTCTACACACCAAAGGGAATTATCTTGGTGCAAGGTATCAAAGACAGAATCATTCTTCTGCATCTATATTTCATAAGTCCCTTCATTTCCCATTATTGACCAGATTGCTAACGTCAACCACTTTTTGTAGAAATGGAAAGAAAATGCTTGGTATTGTGTTGGGATGAAGAGAGTATATTCTAGTGTTCTTTGTATGTACCAGTACATTAAATTCAGGCTATAGGATTGAAACTTTACATATTGCTCTGGTTGAATTGAAAGCAATCAATTTACAATTCATTCCCCAATATTTTCTTTCATTGTTTGAAACTGAATTTTCTGATGCATAAAGGAACTTGATTTCCCCCCCTGGATATACAAACTGTTGGCAAGTTGGAACTATCTGGAAGACTATAGGCCCCATTCTTGGACTACATCCATAGACCTGTTGTATTTTTTGTGGTTATGGAAAGTTGTGTGCATGCAATGCTTCTCTTAATTAATTATCAATACCAGGATTTCTCTTCCTTTCATAGATATTGTAGCTACAGTAATATCTCACTGTTTCATGCAAAGATGTTGGCTATTTTTACAAATTTGCTCCCTTGATCTGAAGGGAACAGTCATCTGGTTACGATCTTCTCCATAGGTTGGTTTGGCTTGGTTTGCTACATCTCTGCCTTTGAAAACTTCTTCCAGCATCAACAATATAAGAATAATGAAGAATCCTCTAATTTTATGCCAAAACAGAATGTTTTTTAGTTCTCACAGAGCTCACTTCCCAGCCACTGTTTAATATAAAATCGTAAGTGCAATGTGTTGGATTTTGGTTCTATAAATATTCCAGCAATACCACATGATGTGTTGTGCATGTTGTTGATTTCAGTGGATTTGACTCCCAACTAAATGTACATCAGATTGCATCTAACTACATCACAGTCTATAGATTAGACTTAGTTTCTTCATTAAATACATTTTCTCACGAAATGGTAGGTGACTCATAAAAATATTTACTGCTTCAACTACCTCTTAAGTTTTATATAAGAACACTGCCCTGCAAAATATGACTTGCATCATATTGAGGCCTAGGTTCCTTCTTCTTAATGCTCTTCAGCCTCTCCAAATCTCTTTCAAAAAGACGGAAATAGACAGAAAAGCTCAATTCCGTTAAGATTATTTATCAAGAGAATTGAGATTCAAGAGCACCTTTCAAAACACATTGGGAATAATATGTTGCTGTTTTTCTAGGTTAAGAACAATTTTTGCTGCTACATCGGTCATCAGATTTTTGTTTATTCTCAGTTTGTCAATAAAATATTAACGTATGTGTTTACTTGCCTTTCTCTATTATCAGAACTAATTAAGAGAAACAGATGGCAGCAAGTGTAGAGATAGCTGGGGGGGGGGGTGGAGATTCCTTTCTCTTGAAAGTTTTATTGCCAGTAGCTTTTTGTTGTCAATCATTCTTAAAACTGGAAAGCTTCAAAAACCAGCATGACGCATGTTATCAGCAGTATTTTTTAATAGCTTTAACATATGGAAGCACATTTTCTCAAAAATCAAATTATATGGAACCTCAGTCTGAAGTCAACTATAAGGCTCACAGAACAATAGAATTTGAGGGGCAAAGGGGGCTGAGGGACTGTAACTTATTTAAATACTCTTATTTTTCTCAGGCTGTATGTTTTTAGGCAAAGCACCCATTCCCCGTGGCAGATATTTTAAAATAGTTTGAGTGACCAAGTGCACAGAGCTGGAGTACAAAATGTGATAGATAGGAAAATCTTTTGATTCACAAACAATAAACATCCATACAATATCACATTTGTTCACAATAGCAAGATGATGTTAACCTTGATGGCCCATGGAATGCAATGCTTCTGTAGCTGTGTTCTGTGAAGAAGTATATCGGGCCAATAGAGACTTCCACATTTAACAAATAATATTTTCCCCTGCAGTTCCCAAGGATTTAATCAGCAATATTTTGAGCAGGTAAGTTAGTTTAGCAGACTATATATTTTGTGATTTAAGTTACAAGTCAACTGATTGTCACCCCTGTTGATATTAATATCAGTACTGAGCCACTGGAGAGCAGCACTTAATCAGAATATTTTGTTAATTCATAGTTTTGTCACATTCTTAGCCTATCTTGAAAATGCTCATCCCTTTCATCCTTGTCTATTCCCCATCCCCACCCCCCCCACCCCAAATAAACCAAAAAATATATACCAAGTACAAGGGGTTCTTCCTGAGCAGGTCCATATTTTCTTTTTTAAAACTTTATTTAATGAAAAAATATAATACACAGACAAGTGAATTTATTTCAATGAACATAGCTGGAGAAACTGCAAAGTAATGTACAAATAATTAGTCTGACTTTATGATGTACTTATTGCTAAGCTACAGCAAATGAAAAAGATAACATGAACACGTTGAAACAGTAAAGTAGCTCATATTCCAGTCATTAAATCTTAGCATCGAAAAGCTAGACTTTTCTCTTAAACTACATAAAGTAATTAATCTCCAATATTGCTTTAATATTTTCAGTGCAAATAATATTTCTTTACTCAAATACTAGCTTCTAAGCCTAACTTTTTCCCCCCAGTATTTTTTAATGGATATTTTAATCACCTTAGTTCAGACTGGCAATATACATAGTGACAGGATCTATCCTGACATCCCAGCAAACAGCTAATCATACTTTCCTTGTTGCTAAAGTCGCTCTGTAAAGCAGAGATGTCCAAAATGCTTGTTCTTTGAGTTGGAAAACAGAACTGCAAAACTGCCAGTCACCTTTACAAAAAAAAGGGACAATCCCAGGAATCATACTTTTATCTTCCTATAAGCATCTTCCCACAAGAGGCATCTTACAGTTTTCCCTTCTCCAGATGCTTTGTGAAAAAGAAGGGGGATGGAAATAATTTTTGCAGGCATTGTGATCTAGTGCAGTTCCATGATACTAAGAGAGTGGAAGGTTTCCTGGGCATCCCAAAACTTCCTGTGAACCTCTCTGGCTTTTATCTCCTAATGCAGTGAAGGCGAACCTTTTCAGCACTGAGTGGCAAAAAGGGAGTGCATGTGTGGCCAACTGGTCTTTTGGGTACTGGCGTGTATGCACGTGCGACAATCAGGGTGACATGGGCACAACAGAAACAGGTAGACCAGCTCTTCCAGTTTCCGGCACTGCCACATGCGCAAAGGACAGCTGATCATCGGGTGCGCATGTGCACCAGAAACCCAGAAGAGGAACAGGCAACGCCGCGCATGCCAGCTTACATGGCTCTGCGTGCCACTTCGGGCACATGTGCCATAGGTTCGCCATCATGGCCCTAATGCCATTAGAGAAGGGGTGTCAAACTGGTGGCCCGTGGCCTGGATGTGTCATGTGCAGGCCACGTCCAGTTCCACGAAGAGAAAAAATGTCATGATACGTCATGTGATGGCAACGTGATGCTATGAGTTTGAGGCCCTAGAACTGTTAGCCAACTTGCTATAATTCGATTAACACAACGTCACTATTAATTAATATGAATTATTAAAAAGGGGGATCATTGTGCCCTTCCCTGCTGCTGTATGTAAGACAAGAAAATGGGGAGATGACATTTGTTAGAAGTGAACTGTTTGGACACCTCAAATGCATTATATATAAGCACCTGCAAAAATATGATTTAGTGAGATAAGCCAATCTAAATAAGTAACATTTTCACTCTAGGAAAACATGTTTCCCAGTGGATTTTCTTTCCCTAATACTCAAGCCTATCATGCAACTGAAACTACCTCTGAAAAATGTCCACTTGAGGAGTGATACACACCAGGTCATCTCCAGGAGGAATTAAGGGTTGTTGTTTTTTTGGTAAAAAATATGCAATTTCATACTTCCAAGAAAACAGAATAAATGTCAAAATTGGCTTCTTTTTATGATTTTACAAGGCCTCAATCAATTCACATGTCTTCTGGATCTCAGGTCTTTAAAAAACCCTCTTAGTTGAACACACACAAGAAAGAATCACATTATTCTGCCGTATTAGCAGCTTGCATTTCTAACAAGAAATATGGGGTACGGATGAGTTAACAATTGCAACAGACACAGTGTTACACATTTCATTTTAATGAAAAGCATTTAATTGTGCTTTGTAAAGCAGTCCTACATTTTTGTATCAAACATCCACCCCCTCTATCTGAAAAGGGCCACTGAAGTATGTGGCTTTCCAACAGACATAGCATTAAAATAGTTAACTATTTTTTCCTCTAAAATTTACAGATTGATGTAATTATATGCACTCACAGCAATGTTGTAATTGAACAGGATACAACAAAGCTCAGGATTAGCTCCAATATTCATTCTGTATCTCTAATTACTTTTGAGTGTGGTTCTAAGAGACATAAGTGGCCTTAGAAACAAGGAAGAAAGGGAGAAAGAGAAGGAAGAATAAGAATACTCAGAAATAATTGTTCTGTTTGTTTAGGGCTAATTTACAAAAAAGAAAAAAGAAACAGGAAAAAAAGAATCTCTTCAGTTTAACAATAAATAAGCCTGATGGTTGTTGTTTTTTTTAAAAAAGTTCATGCACATTTTAAAGTGAAAACATGCCTGGAAATTATTTACATAGGGCACAATCCAGCAGGATAAGTATTTCACATGCCCAGTCAAATGAATTGGTGCAATTTACCATCACTTTGCACAGCTTTTTAATGGGCCTTGTGCATCAAGCCATGCTAGCATGGTGGAGTTCACACTTGGCTTCTATCTTCCCAAATCCCACAATATCACAGCAGCAGAAAAGTGCGTTTCCCCTCCACTGTTCTTTTGCATTGTCTATTTCCAATTGCAGATTGTTCATTCTAGCTTCTGTGGAATACATCCCTCCATTTCCACAACTTCTGGCCATCCTTCATACTTGTTGGTGTCCTTGTTGTTTTTAATATGCTGCAAAGAGAAAGCCATTTCAATTTAAATGTAAGTATAGTTAGGGTTGCACTGAAACATAACATTTTTCTAACTTACAAAAAACAGTATTTTTGTTTATGTCCTGCTGCATTTTTCCAAGATGAGAAATATATGAAAAAGAAAAGTTCTACAGTAAAGAACAAAAAGCTGTGTGAAATATAAGAGCTAATAAACAATGCTCTTAGTCTGAATATTAGCATAGAAATTGGTGTAAGAATTTTCTGCTATTGTTTTCAAATAACATATATACAGAACCTACTTATTTGCCTCCTAAGAATCTATAGTGATTGACCACTATTATCATCATAATGCCAGGGGTTGAGGAGAAGCAATTGGAAAACAATATGAAATATTAGAACTTTCAGACTGAAGTTGAATGAAGTTGAGATTGAAAAGAAATCTATTTTTAAACCAATCACAATTGCAGCCCTCGGAGTAATACTTAAAGGACTTCCTTGATATCTGGAAATGTTGAATTTATCAGACCTGAACACCTTAATTTGCCCAAAACAATCCTGCTTAGAATTACCTGTGCTCTTAAGTGCTACTTTAATAATTTTAGATCCTTTGTTGGATCCTTTGTTATGACTCAAATTGTTACATTTCCACTAGTTTTAGACTAACTGTAGATTATCCATACATAATAACAACATCTGCCAGGTTCTTAAGAAGGACTCAATAAATAGATAGAAACACCAAATCCAGTATAAACATCTGGATAAATATGTGCAACTATATTTATAATACAATAATATGTAGCAGTAGAAGCAGAAGCAGATGTAATTTAGCAGCTTCAAACAGGAAAAAATGGCATCAAAGTAACACATCAGAAATAGAAATAATTAAGATGCTCAAAGGACAGGGAACAAACGAATATTCAGAGTGAGGGCATTTAGAGTTCATTTTCAAAATTTTCCTGAAACAATTGATATGACCCTAGGAAATTCTGAGCAAGGCACTAAGATCCAGTGATCCAGAATTGAAGGGAGAGTGGTAATTTTGAGTACACATGTATTCATGTACCATCTCACTGCAACTTGATAAAAATTCATTAGATTTAAGCAGAAGCACTCCATACCGTGTTCCCCTGAAAATATGACATGTCCTGAGCCCAATCGGGCTTTTCAGGGCATGGGCTAAAATACCCCCCCCCCAATTAGATCCCCCAGAAACTATTAAAATGCATGTGCAGCCGGACCGCACCATTTCCTCTAGTTGTCTCCGGAGGGAGGAGAGCACCCTACCTGCCATTAATGTACCTAACAGTAACGGTGATGACTGCGCAAAAAGAGCAGTTGTAGCAAAAAGAGCGCCTGCCGCAAAAAGAGCACCCACCGTAGCTTGTGCCCCACCTGTCACCCCCCCAAATTGCGCTCCAGCATGAGACATGCATCTTACCAGATATTGGCAACTCCATCACGTCTCTCGGCCAGTTTGTGCAAGGAATGACCTTGCATGGTAAGGAAAAACTTCTCACGAGTGCGAGCAATTAACAACTTCTCAAACTCGTGAGAAATTTTTTCTTTACCGTGCAAGGTGTTTCCCTGTACAGACCGGCTGAGAGACGCGACAGAGCTGCCAGTGTCCAGTAAGATATGCATCTTGCGGCCCGCCCGATCCCCTGCCCCACCTGCCAACCCCCAAATTGCACCCCAACGTGAGACGCGCATCTTACCAGACACTGGTAGCTCCATCACATTCCTTGCGATTGTGTCCAGGGAAACACGCTGTAAAAAAACCTTCCTGTGAGTTCAAAAAGTTTGAACTTGCGAGAAGGTTTTTTTATAACGTGTTTCCCTGGACACAACGGCGAGGAATGTGACAGAACTGGAAAGGTAAGACGCATATCTCACTTCTCGGCTGCCCAACCTGCTCGAAAATAATAAGCCCACTCCCCCCGATAATAAGGCCAAGCCCTTATTATGGGGGTCAATAGAAAATACGACCCTGTCTTATTTTGGGGAAAACATACTTTCTTCTTCAAATCCAAATCAACCCAGACCCTTTTCCTAATTCCAATTAAGTATTTTTGCAGTTACTAAAGTGTATCTTCCAGATTAGCTGAAGTTCTGCTGACCAAAATGAATCAGCAACATTTCCAGGATGCAATGTATGATTTGGCCTCCAAAGACGCTCATCTATGTTGTGTAAACTTTAACATGACAACATACCTGTTCAAAAGGGCTTTTAGTTTTGATTCCTTTTCCACCACAGAAAACCCAATTGTCTCTGAATCCAAGCGTTGTGATGGATGTACTCCCCAAATCTGATATTATTTTCCGTGCCTCTTCATTAAGCCTTCAACAGAATTTTAAGAATTACTATAGAAATGTAATATTATCTAGAATATAATTTACCAAATTGATTCATATAAACACTTTGCTTCATATTTATTGAAATTTTGTCTTCATTGGTACAAATAATACAGACTGTTACACATATGCGCATTATTCAGCAACCTCGGTTGAACAATGACAACCCCCTTTTAAAATGACCACATTCTTGGAAGGAAAATATGTCTCCCACTTTAGCTCTTATCTAATTGTAAACTACTAGAAAGCAAATATGACAAATAAGTATTGTATTTCCAACAGACTTACTTAGTGGCACCATCGTCATATGTTGCCATTAATACAATAGTTCCATCTGCAATGCTCTTCAGAAATTCAATGAATGGGGCTACATCTACATCAAATGGAAGCACAACAACATTTAATATTTATTAAATTTATACAATACAATACAATACAATACAATACAATACAATACAATACAATTGCAGAGTTGGAAGGGACCTTGGAGGTCTTCTAGTCCAACCCCCTGCCTAGGCAGGAAACCCTATACTGTTCCAGACAAATGGCTATCCAACATCTNCTTACTAGGAAGCTCTTAGACAACCTGAATGCTGAGGAATTTCACAAGTCTTTCCCTTCAAAATTGGCACCAGCCTTGCATAGACATTCTTATTGTACTGGTATCACTAATGGATCTTAATTATGATGCATTAAAATGCATCATAATTATACAATAACAACTGTAGTGGAGAATACTCACTTCGCAATGGTTGGTCCAGTGCTGATCTTGCTAGAAAAATTAACATTGAAATACACATTAGGAAAAGGTTTTTCATAATTATACTTTTTATGGAATTGTATGTCATAATTCCTAACTCGCCAAATTAAGATTTGAAAATTATAGTTTATCATTATATTTGATGATACGGTTACCAACTGTACAGTAACATTTTGGTGCAATTGACTATATCATGCAGCAGCAGAGAAAGTCATTACAGAATATATACTATGAGTAACACACATATATACACTAATTGACTAATTAGTAACATTTTAATAGTAAATCTTTAGTTTAAAAGATCTGTTTGGTGGACTTCAGACACAATGGCCATTTTTTCATTAGTGTTTCCCCCTCATTTAAGAACCTTTCAATGGCCTTTAAACTGGATGGTTTCATTGTTAAATCAAAGCACGATTGCAAATGATGCCATTTACGTCAATTTTGTAAGTACACCAATGTTAAAAATTGTATTTCTCCTTCCTTCAAAACATCCATGAAATCAATGATTTAATTCTGTAAATAAATCAGAAGGGAATATTTGAAACAAGCAACACTGACTTTTTTACTCCACATAATTTAAAATTACTATATTTATCTTGACAAATCTTATGACAGAAATGGGATTCTGGACTGAAAGCATAGCCAAAATATATTTTGTCTACAATCCTTAACTGATCTACCTGTGAGTAAGCCTCACTAATAGGATTATGTTTGAAAACACCAGAATATGACTGCATTGTGCTTAAATTATACAACTCTGCGTGAAAATAACTTAAGTAGGTCACTTACCAAAAAGATTTCCTAAACTGGCGTCCATTTTTATTTCAAATACTTGAGATATGACATAAAACATCAGCAAGAACACAGCCACTGCTATTACCAACTTTGCTGCTCCTAATTTAAACAGAGCAAAAGGAAGTTGCTGAACAACTATACAATTGTCTAATATAATAAATTCCCCACTACTACAATTATATTGGGCATATAGCCATGTCCAAATAATGCAATGCAAATGTTTTATGAAACAAATATTTTGATGCAGAACCTCTTGTTAATTTGAGTGGAAGCAAATTATAGGACTTTATTTGCATAAATATATAATTTAGAAATTAAAGCAGTGAGAACAGATGTGAAATTTCTTTTTCATTTAACAGAAACAAATTGATTATTCTTGTTCTTATATCATGTGTATATACCAGTAAATATATTTTAAAATGATCACAGGAAAACAAAGGTCCCCGGGTTTTTTTTTTTAAAGGGGGAGGGGATTATAGATGATAATTCTTCATTCTATTTTTCTCAGTCATTAAGAAAATTTTTAAAATGTTTGCTTTTTTTTAATGGTCACATTATCTAAAATGGTATACATCTTCATAATTTCAGTAAATGCTACTTTGGTACAGAAGTAACTGCACCATTCATAACCTGGTTCACAAAACATGAACAGACTTCAGGTTCCCATTTTCCCATTTTCCGTCTGTTTCATTTTGTCATTTGTGCACAGATTGTTGTGAGCTCTAATGAAGCAAACTGCAGCTACTACAAATCCATTACTTGTTCCATGCATGAGCTAGAAAATCAATTCTATTTTTCAGGCTGCATCCAATTGGCCATCAGATGTCAAATGAACAGTAACTTCAAAACAGGTAGAAGGGAATATATAATGCCCAAAGCTACTGTTCAATGATTCGGCTATGAAAGAGTAAGATGAAACTTCTGGCTTATCAAACATTTGCCAATATATGTTTACACTTTCCCCATAGGTATGATAAAGGTTCCCCTCACACATATGTGGTAGTCGTTCCTGACTCTAGGGGGCGGTGTTCATCTCCATTTCAAAGCCAAAGAGCCAGCGCTGTCCAAAGATGTCTCAGTGGTCCTGTGGCCACCATGACTAAATGCCGAAGGTGCACAGAACACTGTTACCTTCCCACCAAAGATGGTTCCTATTTTTCTACTTGCATTTTTACATGCTTTCTAACTGCTAGGTTGGCAGAAGCTGGGACAAGTAACGGGAGCTCACTTCGTTACACAGCACTAAGGATTCAAACCGCCGACCTTTCTGATCGCATCCCTTATTTCCCATAGCAACAAGTTAAAAAAAATACCTTTTACAATTCAAAGTTAAATATTAGACATGCAATTATATTTTCTTGTTTTTCCCCTGAAGATGTCATTGCCCTTAAAAATCTTAGAGAGACTCAATAAAAGTGGGATTTTTGTGATGTGATCCCAAAATCCTTGGAAAAGCAGTTGGTAGAAACATGCCTATTCACATGCCCATAATGCTGCCTTCCAATTTAACATAGACATTCTGAATAATTGTATCATAGAGTAGCATAGAAATACTTGTGACCTTGTTTTGTGTAGAAATTCAGGCACCAGGCTAGAATCTGGGAGATTGGGAGTTCCAGTTCTGCCTTTAGGCATAAACCTAACTGGGTGACTAAACAGGGACAAGCTATTTAAGGGTTATTTAAATTTTAAAGCAATTCAAAGACCTTAGAATTATACATTCTAAAATAACAGTAATATGGTAGTTCTGGAGTCATAATTCTATAAGAACTATGAATGAATACATCTAAGATTCTCATCATAGCATGTATATAGTTACTTGCATAGTAACCAGGCTGGTCAATGAGGAAGGGTAAAAATGACTTTATTTTCACTTCAATTAGACTTACATCATCTCACATATATACAGGTAGTCCTCGGCGTACGACCACAATTGAGCCCAAAATGTTTGTTGCTAAGAGAAACAGTTACGTGTGTTTTTCCCCACTTTACAACCTTTCTTGCCGTGGTTGTTAAGCGAATCACTGCAGTTGTTAAGTTATTAATACGGCTGTTAAGTCAATCTGGCTTCCCCATTGACTTTGCCTATCAAATGTTCGCAAAAAGTGACCAAAAGACCTCAGGACACTGTCATCAATATAAGCCAGTTGACAAAGTGTCTGGATTTTGACCACATGACCATGGGGATTCTGTAACAGTCATAAGTGTGAAAAATGGCCATAAGTCACTTTTTTCATGATGCTGTTACAGTCACTAAACGCACCGTTGTAAGTCGAAGAGGGTGTATTACATGTTTTGTTCTGAATCTAAAAGAAACATCCTGCACTACAGTAGTTCAGCCAAATCATTTTGGGCAGGCTAAGCTTTGGAATAAATGAAAGTCAAAGATTTTATTTGTTTTAGCCAAAAGAAAATCTGCAGTGATTTGAGAGAGATAAGCAAATCAAAGATAGTGCACCTCTGCTCCCTCACCACTCAGCAGCTCCCAGACCAGTATCCAATTGTCCCCATGATCTTCTCTTCCCTCTCCTAAGGCTCCGTTTTCCACTCTTCCCCCACTCTTACCCCCCCCCTTCCCCAAATACTTTGGTCTGGAAGAACCACGTTTTGCTCCATCTCCAGAACAAAACAGTCTGCTTCATTTTGGATGGCTAAAATGCATGTCTGGGCACAAACTTCCCAAAAGCACCTATTCCTTGTGCAGAACGATTCATGTAACACCTTGTTTCTTTGAAATTTTAATTCAGTCCATAAAAACTTGGGGATTCACTGCAGGACACCCTTCTTTATTCATGTATTCAACATAAGTGTGGATATTTAAGAAATAAATAGATAGGTAAATAAATAAGAAATAAATAAAGCTAAATAGATATTAATTGCCCTTGCCTAGCAGCCTTCTTTCCTAATACCTTCCTTTCCTTTGCAGTCAAGAGAAAACCTACTGTTTCATCTAGAACAGGAGTGTCAAACTCAAGGCCCGGGGGCCGGATCCGGCCTATGGGGTGCTTAGATGGGGCCCATAGGGCCACCCTAGAAACAGCAAAGGACCAGCCCACAGTGCCTCTGCCAGCAAAAATGGAGCTTGGGAGGGCCACATGCGCCCACCCCCTTGACCTCTATTTTCACTGGCAGAGGATGGCAGGAGGCTGTCACAGCTGAAAATGAAGCTCTAGAGACTCTGGGGAACTGGAAGGAGTCTTAAGCCCTGACTTCTAGTCTTTTCAATGCAGTTCCCTCTGGATTGAATAGGAAAAGCAATTCAGTTCCATTTCTTACTTCCAGATTAGGCTATTTTTAAACTCTAACGTGTCAAACATAAATGTAGTATGAAACCGCAAGATACTTTTAATTTTGTTAAACTTCTGTCAATCATGCATTAGGTGACGTACATTTCCCAACAATTTTTTGAGTAATCTGTATATGTTAGGCAATAATAATATTCAACTTAAAATTCTTCCTGGCTAGACTTGGTAAGGAAAACAAATTACCATGCCATTACTTAAAATATTTTCCACTGCTAATCATTTTTTTCTGCCTAAGAAATACTAGCATCATAATTGTAAACAAGATAGATAGATAGATAGATAGATAGATAGATAGATAGATAGATAGATAGATAGATAGATAGATAGATAGAGACAGACAGACAGACAGACAGACATTTACACACACACACATTGTGTGATTGTGTGTATGTCTGTCCGTAGTCCCGTCAATTATAAGAACTTAAGACCAAAATCATTTCTAATTGCTCTTATATCTAGTTATTGATGCCCTAGAANTGTAGTATTATTTTCAGCAGACTGTGTTTATCTATTATTGTGACTTAGATGAAGTTCAGAGCACATTTTATGACCAATTCATGCAAAACTCCACATAATCCCAAGGGGTTCACATACTTTTTCTTGCAACTGTATGTGATATGAACAGATAAGTGGAAATGAGATGCAAGTAGAGGAAATAGTTTTGAGTCAAAATAATGAGAATAGTGACTGCTAGTGAATCACCCTGCCAACAAAAGTGTGTATAGGCAAGGCTATGGTTTTCCCAGTTGTAATGTATGGCTTTGAAAATTAGACCATAAGAAAGGCTGAGCGCCAAAGAATTGAGACCTTTAGACTATGGTGCTGGAGAAGACTCCTGTGAGTCCCTTGCAAGGCAATCAAACCAGTCAATCCAAGGGGAGATCAACCCTGACTGCTCTTTAGAAGGTC